AAAATTAAAAAAAAAAAGCCCTAGGGACAGTCACATCCTTGGGGCAGCTAGGTGGCGCAGTGGATGGAGCACCAGCTCCTGAACTCCAGGGGGACCTGAGTTCAAATCTGGCCTCAGACACTTACTAACTGTGTGACCCTGGGCAAGTCACTTAACCCCAGTTGCCTAAAAAACAAAACAAAAAAAAAAAACAAACGAAAAAAGAATAAAACAAGAATGTTGCCTAACTTCATGTTGGGAAGTTGTCATTACTACCAAGATGGGATTATAATTTTGTAGAAGATAATCACTATCCATGCAGTGCTAGAAAGATGCTGTTTAAGAAGCACCTTAAAGGACCAGCTCGGTGGCACAGCTGGTAGGGCCGGAGGACCTGAGTTCAAATCCGGCCTCAGACCAAACACTAGATACTTACTAGCTGTGTGACCCTGGGCAAGTCACTTAATCCCAACTGCCTTAAAAAAAAAAAAAGTTTTTATTTCCAAGCTGATTGTCTTTCTCTCAGACAGTCCTCAGGTGAGAATCCCTGTGTGGTCATCTCAGATTCTAGTTCATTTTCTCTGGCAATGGCTTTTACACTGGTTGGTACTTCAAGGCTAGGCATTACCCAGGGGTAGATGAAGGGCATCTCTGCACTGTTGAAGAGTTAAATTCTTATGGTTCTCCCAGAGGTTGGCAAACAGTCAAATGGTCTTTTCAAACATCATGCTTTATCATTTTTAAACACAGCCTATGCCAGGCCTGCACAACATACAGTTTGTGTGCCACTTGCGGCCCGAGAAAGGATTTCAGGAGGGCCGCGAAAAATGTACAGGATGTAAAACAGGCCTGTACAACATACCACTCACGGGCCACATATTGTGCAGGCCTGGTCTATGCTATGCCTCTGAAATCTCTACTTTAGGATAACACAAGTCAGTCAGCTTCATTTTCCACCTGGCTGCTCATGATCTCCAAAAATTCATCATTCCTCAAAAGGAAATCAACTGTGCAACTCACACCTCCTCAGCACCCCTGCCTTCACTCTGGTTGGAGAGTGTGGACACTGGAGGGCTCCTCCCTGGTCCTTTACCATGTAAGGAGGGTGCCCAAGTCATTCACTTCATCATTTCCCACCCCACTGCAATCTTGGATTTCATGATCTCCAGAAACCCATTATTTTGCAAGATGAAATCAACTTTGTAACTCACATCTCTTCAGATCATTTCCCACCTTGGCTACAGGACTTCATCATGCCCTCAAGACAGATACTCTCTTGTCCAACTCCTTTTCAACTTCTTTTTATTTCTAAGCTTTGTCCATTAGATTGTAAGCTCTGAGGGCAGAGACTTTCTTCATGTGCCCGGCACTTAGGACAATGGTTGGTACATAACAGGCACTATGTTTACTGACTCTAACTCTGAATTCCTGGTGATTAGGCCATGGCCAATGGAGAAGAAAATGCTTGTGTGGGATTACCCTACTAGCCACAAGAAATATCGTAATGTGACAAACACAGAGCAGCAGAAGAATATGTGAATACCGAGTACCATAGTTTAGCCTAACCAATACCCCTATACAAGGAAGTAAATAAGCTCTAGAGACTAGAGAAAATATATTCAACACATCTGGGGCCATAGAAGAAAAAAAAATAGAAACATTGTAGATGGCACAGCAAGTCTTGATTTGGCAGAGTCAAATATTTAAATATTGTTTAAATATGCCTATTAAATATAAATGCTTAAAAGACACACAAAACACGCAGGCATTATTTAAAATAATTAGCCCTATCTCTCAACATTGATACTGTAAAAGTGTTACTGGGACTTGTGCGGACCTAACTCTGTGAAGTCTGACTTTCACTATGTCTGTTTTAGGGAAGTTATTTATCTGAATTGATGTCATAAGCCCTGTTGTTCTGAGGTTCTCTGCCACCATATCGCAGTGATAGGAACTAGACAAAAATACCTTTGTGGGAAGACTGAAAAGCTCCAAGCTGCCAGCTTTAGGTATACCCTGAGCATTTTCCATGTTTCATTTTTTTATGTGAAAGAAAACTTAAGAAGGAACTTGCAAACTAAACCAAATAGAGAAAGCTTTACATCAATAGCATTTCTAAATATTACCAAACTCCCAGCAGGCTTTTCAACATGCACTTTGTAATGTGATATATTGTTACATCAAAAGCAAAAATGTTTATATACTGCTTTTACTGCACACAAAGTACTCCACTGTTTTCATAAATGCCACTAGCTAAAGGGGAAGGTTGGGGGGGAGAGGAGGAAAGGGGTATTTATGTTTTGAAAACTCCTTCCAAGTAATAATAGAGCTCAGTTCTCTGGCAGTGATGAAGTTTAAGCAAGCAAGAGAAATATTGTACCTGGAACACTTGCCTGCTTTCAAATTGACCTAAATGACTAATAACAACAGCAGCTGCAGTAATAATGATGATGGCAGTGGCAATATAATAGAAGCGCTTACCTCATTGACCTGTAAATTTAAAAATTAGCATAAAAAAGACTATATGAATCGAAAGTACTTACTCACCTTAGTTAATTTTTCAATATGATAGCCTCCTTCCACTTCAAAAGTTACTGTCATATTGTACCCAGTTTGGTTTCCATGTCCATTAGGCCACCAAGTCTCCACTGTAGTGTTCTTAAGAAATAGATTAAATCATCTTATATAAGTAACCTGTGGCACATGTCCAGCAAATAATTAAAAACGACTGTCCTATGTGTCCAGCTTTCTTCACCCCCTCCATCACAGCCAACACCACGGGGGGGGGGGGGGGGGGGAATGAACCACAAATTCAAATTTTGAGTCTAGAAACTTTGGGTCCCAGAAATGAAAGCAGAATTATCAAAAATACCATGCCTGGAGAATACTGCATCTCACTAATAAAATCAAGGAAACAGAAATTAGGCCACAAACAACATTTCACAACTTCAGTAGGAAACAGAGAGTAAGAGAGACCAAATAGCAAGGAAAGAAAAAAGTAGTGGCACAGAGATTCAGAAAACTCCACTGGTGCTTCACATCTATGATACTATGCATTTTCCTCTCTTCTGTAGTCTTTACCCTTTAGCACTCATTTTTCTAATCAGGTAGTACAATCAATTAGTCAAGTCTCAAGTTACCACTTTATCTGAGCAGAGAACTTATTACTAAGCTATGGCCAAGCCGATTTCAGAATTCTGAATGTAACTAACCATCCCCAGGCAGTAAGAGGACAAATTGGTTCACGCTGGCTAATAGAGGCATGTACTCCCAGGGATTTGGAGCCTCAAGATTTTCTGATACTAAGCTTTTTCTATCCAATTCAATCAGACCTGAATATTTATCAGGCCTCTCCTACTACACGGAAGATAATGACCTAAGTAACCTTCCCCTCTCCTGTCTGTCTTCTAAGAGACATCAAGTCAGTTCAGACAGACTTCTCCCAGCTACTAAGTAGCTTTGTCCCATCTTTTTGTCCTCCAGTGCCAGCCCCTCCTTTTTTGTTAAGGATTGTGCTGATTCTATACAAACAGCACCCAGAGGAAGAGAAGAGCACTCCCCTTCCGAGCACGGAAGCTGAGGATGTTTGCACTTGGAAATGTGTCAACAAATGTTAACTGATACAAAAAGTAATCTTATCTTTGATTCATTCTAAAATTATGCCTACAACATCATCTAGTAGTTCTGGAATAATGTTTCTAACGCTAAAGATGCGGTTCTTATCTCCTGCCTCTTTAGGGACCAAGGATCTTGAGTCACTTTCTCCATCTTTTATGAGCCTATGAAGTCCTACTGAATTCTGTTGAGAGCCAAACGATCCTCCAGTTCCGACAGTTAGAGAAAAGATATAGTTTATACAGAAGCTAAAAATGAAGAAGAAATGAAAAATACCAAAATGGGTTTGGGCAGAAAATGTTCTCCAGAATACACAACGTGGATTAATTTTGTAAGTGTGAATTTTCAAAATGCAAAGGAGTAAAGATATGGAGACAAGTGACTCACATAGCCTGTGTCTCCTGTCCTTTGAAAATGAAAAGGACCCAGTTTTCATCCCATGTGCATCTTTGCAAGAATCAGCCTCTTACCTTGTTGACGTTCAGGAGCAAGGGGATCATGCTTTGCCCAGGACAAAGTTCAATGTCATATATCTGGTGGGTCTGCAAACCTGGGATGCTCACGGTTACTTGGCCACCAAGTGGTTTTGAGCTAACTACATCAAAATAAGCCTCTATTTTAAGATTCCATTCTCTGGCACTGCTCACTGAAATAAAGAGAAAAAGAAAAGAAAATACATATATAAAAAAGGGTTAGTATTATCTGTAAGCTCCTTTAGACTCACTGAGAAGGCAGAACAGTTTGTGACCCCGTAGACATCTATAAATACTTTCTTAACTCTGATCAGTACAATGATAAAGCGTAATTCCAGGGGACTGATGATGAAGCATGATGCCCACTTACTGAAACAGACATGATAGGCTCAGGGTGCAGAATGACACACACATTTTTTAGACCTGCATGATAACGGGAATTTGTTTATGCTTGACTACGCATATTTATTGAGAGTTTTGCTTTCATTTTTTAATGGGGGTGAGAGGGAGAAAAAAATTTGTTAACTGAAAAGATAAAACATAATTTTAAAATGATAGTACATACAACTACTTTAATAATTCAGCGATGCAGAATTTCATGCATGAGGTGATTGCCTAAGTTGATGGTAACATGCTAGTCAGGAGGGTATATTGACTCAGATGGCACTGGGTTGGTCAATCAAGCTGGAAGACACACAATTCCTCTGGCCCCAAAGTCAAAGGTTTAAGATTTAATCCCCTGGGCCAATTAAATCTTTAGGCTAGTTTTACTTATAAAATCATTTATAATTTATTATTATAATCAGTTATAATAATTATTATATATTATTGTGAAGCTGTTCCTATCACAGGGAGGGCCGGTGTCAGTTTTCAGCATTGTGTCCCCATCATTTAACAGAATATCTTGCATATAGTAGGGGCTAATAAAGTTTGTGTGTCAACTGAGAGGGGAAGATCACCATACAAAGATGCTAAGCTTGGGATGGAAGTAAAAGCACTGACCTGAATTCTGGTCCTAGTCCCAACACTTCCAAGGTTCTTGGGAGGATAAAATGTATGCGCCAGAATTTTGAAAATTATAAAGCCCAATGCAAAGTACAGTATAGAAAATAGCAAAATTTGATACTCAGTATACTGGTTATGATGTCAAATAGGGCTCAAGGGTTAGTTTCCCGGCTTTTTGTCCAAATTCTTAACCTCTTCTCAAGCTGACTCACAGAGGCTCCCAAGAAAATGACACAGATATGCCAGATATACCCAGATATGCCAGATATACCACAGATATACCCAGGTTCCTGTGGCCAGGTAATGAATCAGAAGAACAGGGAGCCAAGAAGCAATTAACCCCAAATGAACAAATTTGCCCTCCTCCTACAAAGCTTTTCCATGGAAACTTCGGCTAAGTTAGCTTTAGCTCAGACATGGGATTATTTTTGGAAACTTCAGAATACTCTAGGGAGTGCTGGCTGCCATTTTTATTCTTAAAACATTAAAGAAAACAGTGCATTTATTCACTAGGAGAGATGAAAAAAGGGGAAAAAAAACAAACACACCACAACTTCTTAGCTTTAGGAGGGAGGGGGAGGGGGAGAAGGGAAAGAGGACATCAAACAGCAAACTGGGACAACTAATGTATTGGTCTACTAACTACAAAAAAGTAATTCGCTCAAATTGTATTTTCTGGGAGGCAAACTTTCTTTGCACAACTTGATCTTGGACTGTCATTTCACTCAACCAATGCTGAAAATCTGTTAATCATTCAATGTTCAGTTTCAAGAAAACTCAAATTCTATCACAATTAATGATCTTTTAACTTTTATTTTAGAGGAAAATGAGGTAGAAGCAAAAGAACCACAGAATATCAGAGCTGGAAAAGACGCACAAGATCCTAGTCATTGCAACATCTCACACCACAGACAACTGTGACTAAGAAGTAAAAGTTCAATTCATAAAGAATGTAAAAGAACTAAGAAGGAAACATCTATCACAACTGTGTTCAGGGAAAGTGTTTCTGACCAAAAAAAAGAGTAGAGAGAATCAGACAAAATGGTAAACTATGATTACACAAAGCTGAAAAGTAAATAAATAAATGCAGTTCTCCAAGACTTATAAGGAAGTGCTTTAATTATGTAATCATATAATTCAATTATAGTCGTCCTCCAATAGTAAAATGGTCAAAGGATATGAATAAGCAGTTCCTAAAGGAATAAATCCAAGTTATCAAGAACCATATAAAACAATGCCCCAAATCACTAATTACTAGAAAAATGCAAATTAAAACAGCTCTGAGGTTCTACCTTAGATCCATAAGATCGGCAAAGATGAAAAAAAAAAAAAAGGACCATGACAAATGTTGGAGGTACTATGGAAAAAACAAACACATTAATGCACTGTTAGTGGAGCTGTGAATTTGTCCAGCCCTCATGGAGAGCAATAACCAAAAAGTCACTAAATCGTGCATGACATATCTTTTGATCTAGTAGTATTACTACAAGATTTATACCCCAAAGAGATTTTAAAAACATAAGGAAAGGACCCACATGTACAAAAATATTTAAGAGAGAATATTTTGTTGTAAGAAAAAAAGTGGAAACTATAGGGGTGCCAATCAATCGGGGAATGGTTAAACAAATTATGATGTATAAATATAACAGAGTACCGTTGGTACTTGGTTGTTACAAGGAAGGGCTTTTTTTGGGGGGGGGATTATGAGTGAGAAGGAGAGTGATACAGATATAGAAAGAAAAGAACATCAATGAATCATTAAACAGAAGAAAACTGAAGAAAATGCAAAAGAGGACAAAGACAAGCAGGGTAGTATTGAACTACCATGATAAATTTGAAATACTACAACAGCTGCACATGATGGCTGAATCACAGTTTCACACAAGAGTTCTCATTTTCTGTTCTTTTCTCAGGCCCAGATAGGACTGTAAGTAGAAATACAATGCTGGTTTCTCACTTCTCAGCAAAGAGATGGGACACAATATGAGCAGGATGAGATAATACATAAATAGACATGGCCAGTGGGTTGACTTGTTTTTAAAATGTTTGGCAGACAACATCTCACACCGTCTACCAAGATAAAGTCAAAATGGGTACACAATTTAGAAATGAAGGGTGTTATCATAAAGCAAATTAGGGAAGTATGGAATAGCTTACCTATGAAATCTATGGACAAAGGAAGAATTTATGACTAAACAAGAGATAGATAGTATTACAGGATGTAAAATGGATAATTCTGGTTACATTAAAAAAGTATTGCACAAACAAAACCAATGCAGCCAAGATTGGAAGGAAAGCAGGAAACTGGGGGAAAATTTTTTTGTAGCAAGTTTTTCTGATAAAAGCCTCATTTCTCAAACATACACAGAACTGAGTCAAATTTATGATAATATGAGTCATTCCCCAATTGATAAATGGGCAATTTTCAGAAGAAGAAATCAAAGCTATTTAGTCATATGAAAAAATGCTCTAAATCACTATTAATTAAAGAAATGCAAATTAAAACAACTCTGAGGTACCTCACACCTGTGGTGGGTAAAAGATGAAATAATTGAGGAAATAAAGGCTTAAGTTCCTGAGTATTTTGATTCATTAAGCAATGCATGGCAACTGCCCAACAAATCAGGATCAGTAGCCTTCTTCCACTTTGGCAATGGACCCTAAATACAGAAGGAGGCAGACTTCTATGCATTAAAAACGACTAATCAAATAAGGCCAATTGATTAAAAGGAAACAATACAACATGAGGTAATACGATGTAGGGACTTTCCAAGTCTGGAAGTCTTAAAAGAGTGAATAGGTACAATTCCCTGAAACCAGAAAAAGAGGCGTCCCACTCCCCCTAAGGGTCTGTATACAAATCAAAGAAACATAGAAACAGTAACTGATTGATCAGTATGGGATCAGATGACATACGGGTTGTTTGAGATGTACAACTGTGAGAAAACTATCTTACATCAATGTTTAGATCTGACTGAGTTTCTGGTCAGCATAATCTAGACCCTCAGTTAAGAGTCTCTAAGCAGCAGACAGAGATAGTCCAGTTTTCCAGCCACACAGGACTAGATTCAAATAATACAATAAGGTTTATTCCCAATTCCTGCAATTGAATAAAGTTTTCTCACAAGACAGAAGTTGGACTAGGCCCATTAATTGAACAGAAAGGGAACTGAACTAGCTGCAGGATTGAGTCATAAGATGGAATCAGTGTGGTTCACCCAATTCCCACAATTAACCACTTGATGTCCTAATCCCCTCAATTCCCTCAAGTTTCAGGTATGGAAAACCAAATTTAAGATATCATACTGAATTGTATCAAGTCTTGTGACTGGCAGATTTTAACAGAATTACCTAGGAATCTCTACAAGTGATTTGGAACCAGAGAAACAGAGCCCCTTTCAGAGCTGGCCTGAGAATGAGGCCTATTCTAGAATGTCCAAAAGATTTCCTGGGACCAGATGACTACATGAGACATTTGGAGTCAAAATGTGTTGATTTCATGGACAATGGGAGTGGATGTTAGTTAATAATGATCATCATCGTCTTGCTTTGCCTCTTGTTTCATGGTGGTTAAATTTTCTTGGCACATAAGTCTCCCTTCTCATTATGAGCCCTCTAAATATTTGATCTGTAACCTGACATAATTCTGATTATGTATATATGAAAAACCTTATAGATTTGGCTTAAAGATAAGTGATCCATGGTCACTCCCCCATGAATCAAGAGGATTCACTGTTCACTCTCTGAGACCTTCCCAACTTGGAACTATGCCCAAAGGACTGTAGAACTGTGAAGACCCTCTGACTTAGCAATACCGCCACTAGGTCTGTATCCCAAAGAGATCAAAGAAAAAGGAAAAAAGTCCTATATGTACAAAAATATTTATAGCAGCTTTTTTTGTTGTGGCAAAGAATTGGACGTGGAAGGGATACCCATCAATTGGGAAATGTCTGAACTGTGGTATATGATTGTGATGGAATAATATTGTGTTATAAGAAATGACAAGCAAAATGGTTTCAGAAAAACCTGGACTTATATGAACTGATGCAAAGTGAAGTGAGCAGAGCTAGATCATTGTACATAGCACTGTACAATGTACAACAGCACTGTACAATGATTAACTGTGAATAACTGAGCTATTCTCAGCAATATAATGATCCAAGACAAT